CCCTCCCCAGACCCATGGAGCCCTTAGGGTTTACAGGACCAGCGTAGAAATTCTCATCCAGGCAGTTTGATCCTTTTGGTTCTCAAAAGGCAATTGAATGTACACATCTGCTTATTACTCTCAAATAATTTCTTCTTTCACCTTATTATCTCTCAAATCTTTCCTTCTTTTCCCTCTCCATAGAAAAAGTTCCAGAAAATTTAAAAATCTTTTCAGAAAAAACAGTACACTGAGCAGGATTTGCACATCAAGAAAAAGTAGAGACAGGAGATGGGAGTCAAGTGTTTGGAGGGGGGGGTAGAGAAAACATTAGGCTGGAAGGGGTACTGGGCCAGGTGTGGGAGTGTACAGATCTGTGTGTGTGTGTGTGTTTGTGTGTGTGTGTGTTTGGTGTGTAACATTCTCACTGAAGATTTACTTGAAAAACTCCAGCTCTGTCTAGCCTGGATTAACAGAATGATGTTTGGGGCAGGTTTGGGGCTTGGGGGCAGGAGACCCCGGAATGGGATGTGGTGTTGGCAGCTGGGCTGTTGGGCAGGTGAGATGAGCTGCAGAAGGAGCAGGGCTCTGGTTCCCATGCTCGTCCGTCCTGCTGGCATGGAGCTTCCTCCAGGCTGTGGTGTGGGTGTGGTAGGTGGGGCTTCCTTCCTTCCCCAGACTAGCCCAGCAATTCCCCAGGAAGCCAGGCCTCTGCCACTGCTTCTTTCTGCACCTCTACAGGGAGAGTCACCCTGTCTGCACTAAGGATGGGGACAGCAGAGGAATCTCACAGGCCAGGTGGGTCTCAATTGGTAAACGAGGGGTGAACATACGTGTGTTTGCCGTAGCTCCCCACTCTGTCCTTTGCAGACATTGCTAATCAGTCACAGTCACAAGATCCTCACCCCAGTGCCCAATGAGCACTACCAAAAGCTCCACATGGTTTATAAGTATCTGGAGACTCTTGCATTCCCTGTGGATCCTTCCTGACCAGATCTCAGAACCTTCCCTGGAAATGAGGAAGTGGCATGTCACCGCCCAGTACCTTAGGAAGACCCTGCCCTGTCAGTCAGAAATGGCATCTTGGGTGGCCACTCCCTGAGTGGAGGAAGAGAGGGTTCTGTGCAGGGAGCTTCCTTGGTGGATCATGGGGTAAGTGATGCCTTTGGTCTGACACAAAGCCTGGCGTGTGGAGTAGAAATTCCAGTGGGGCTGGGACAAACAGGTGCTGCTCAACCAGGCCTCCAAATACACCTTGTCCCCCTCCCACCATAGCTGAGCCTGGATGGGAATGTGGATACCCATAGACTCCAGGGGATGGGACCCTGCTCAGTGGTGGTGTTGGGGTGTGGGGTGAAGGCAGATGGGACAGGGCCTCTGGGTGTGGGAGGAGCCAGCCTCTCCTGTGAGGGCCTGGGCACATCGCTGCCCTCTTTGGGCCTCTGTTTCCTCCTCTGGCAAATGTGCAAATGATGAGCCAGTTGTGCAGGCCCCACAGGGTCATGATGGGGTTCGGGGAGGATGGGAATTTGAGGGCACTTGTGCCTGGTTCTTCCCACAAAGGATGATGGTGACAGCCATGCTGAAACCCACATGAAACCGAGTCCTCAGGAGGCCCTGTGAGGATGGTGTGGTTCCCATCACACTTCTCTGACAAGAGGGAATTATGATGTTCAGACTCAGGAGAAATATGGGGTTTGTTTCAAGTCCATGGAGCATCACAGTCCTTTTGAGAGGTGAGAGCCTAGCAGATTGACCTAGCGGATTGACAGAGAGTGGGCAGAGGCTCTGTCTTGTGGTCAGTTTCAGACAGCCTGTGGCCACGGCTCCCTGGTCAGCAGCAGGCCCTGTTGAATGGGAGCCCTGGGCAGGCACTGGGAGGGAGGCCTGCGGTGTGGCTCTTAGAGCCTCACAGCTGCTGCTCTATCCTATAGCTACAATCTGTCCTGCTTCTGAGCCCCATCCCTGTAGGCCAGCCATGACCTCAAGGACAAGAAGACCAGGCCATGAAGAATCTCAGGCCCACTGAGTGCCCAGGTGGCAGGGGCAGAGTGCCTCAGGGCTCAGTGAAGTTTGGGCTGAGCGTGTGCTCTGGGAGTCAGACAGCTGCACAGGGCTCCCAGCTCCACCGTGACGTGACCAGCCCTGTGACTGGGGTAGGGGACTTACTGCTGTGGTACTTGAGCATCATTGTCATAAACTTAATGTGTCTGTCCAATCCTTTTGTCTTTTTATCTCTCTTCCTCTATAATCACCATATACTACTGATCTCTGTTAGTGATTGTGTTCAAATGAATAAACATATGTTACATAGGGTGTATTATACTTCCTCATTACGTCTTCACTATACTGTATGACTCCACTCATATGAGGTACTTGGAGTAGTTAAGTTTATAGAAACACAAAGTAGAAGAGTGGTTCCTGGGGCTACAGGAAGGTATGTGTGGTGTTTAATGGGTACAGAGTTTTAGTTTTGCAAGATGAAAAACACCCCCTATAAATGTGGAGGATGCTCGTAAAACCATGTGAATGTGCTTAATTCCTTTGACCTGCATTCTTAAAAATTGTTAAAATGAAAAAAAAAAAAATTCTTGGCCAGGCACAGTAGCTCAAGCCTGTAATCCCAACACTTAGGGAGGCGGAGGTGGACGGATTACCTGAGGTCAGGAGTTCAAGACCAGCCTGGCCAACATGGTGAAGCCCCGTCTCTAGTAAAGATACAAAAATTAGCCAGATGTGGCGGTGCATGCCTCTAATCCCAGCTACTTGGGAGGCTGAGGCAGAAGAATTGCTTGAGCCCAGGAGGTGGAGGTTGCAGTGAACCAACATTGTACCACCGCACTCCAGCCTGAGAAACAGAGCAAGACGCTGTCTCAAAAAAAGAAACAAAAATCCCAGCAACAACAAATATACCAGACTATAGCTATCTGCAACAGCATGAATGAATATCACAAATATAATGTATAAAAGTAAGTAGATGTAAAAGTATACATACTATATAATTTTATTTATACAAAATTCAATAAGCAGACAAAACTGAGGTCCTGGTTTTCAGTAATACTGGAGTAGCTTGTTCAATTAACACAGATTATAATGATGACACCTGAATAATATATTTTATATATATATATATTTTTAATGGAGTCTCACTCTATCACACAGGCAGGAGTGCAGTGGTGCAATCTCAGCTGACTGCAATCTCCACCTCCTGGGTTCAAGCAAGTCTCCTGCCTCAGCCTCCCAAGTAGCTGGGACTACAGGCGCATGCCATCATGCCCAGATAATTTTTGTAATTTTAGTAGAGATGGGATTTCACCATGTAGGCCAGTCTGGTCTTGAACTCCTGACCTCATGATCTGCCCACCTCGGCCCCCCAAAGCACTGGGATTACAGGCATAAGCCACTGCACTCAGCCTATATTATATATTATCATAGAAACCCATCTGTATAATACAAATACGACCTATGTGTGAATAAGAACTCAATGAGGATTTCAGCTGTGCCCACTGTAGGGGAGATAGGTATTGAAGTTTGAATCCAGCCCAATTAAAACCATTTGTAAACAGTAACATCGCTCTTCAAAGCTAATACAACAGAATTGAGAGTCTCTATAATGATTCTTTACAGTATACAACTTTAAAATTCACTGAGACGTGTGAGGAAGCACGAAAATGTAATCCATATACAATTTAAAAAGCAGGCAGTAGATGTGATCCTAAGATATTCAAGGTGTTATAATTCAGCACATTTAAAGGCAGTTATTATAAATCTGTTAATGGGAGTAAAGGAAAATGTTTTAAGAGATGTGGAACCTAAGCAAATAAATGGAAATTATGAAACAATAAGGAGATAGGAAATTTAAAAAATACCTTTGAGCTTATTCAAAGTTTAAAAACAGAAGACAGAGCAATAGAAATTGCCGGTTCTGAATAAAAAAGTGAAAAAACTTAAAGAAAATGAAGAGTCTTAGAGACCTGTGGAGTGATTGAGTCCAAGTTGGAGGGGACAGAAAAATGAGGTACAAAAATAAATCACCAACTAATAGCTAAAAACTTCCAAAGATTGGCCAAATCCCGAAGTTTTTATACCCAACATGTCAACAAATCCCTCCAAAAAATGTAAATAAAACCATACCAAGGTCATATTGTGATTTAGGAGACTGGCAGGGCAGAGCTTTCTATTGACTTGCTGTGATTTCTAATTTTAACTACTTAGAAGAACGAAAAATAGGTTCTCCTTAGAGTTTCTTTTCTTTCTTGGGGAAAAAAAAAAAGCACAGATGACTGACAGGTATTAAAGGCAGATGACGGCCTGGAGCGGTGGCCCATGCCTGTAATCCCAGCACTTCGGGAGGCCGAGGCGGGTGGATCACGAGGTCAGGAGATCAAGACCATCCTAGCTAACACGGTGAAACCCATGTCTGCCGAAAATACAAAAAATTAGCTGGGTGTGGTGGTGGGCACCTGTAGTCCCAGCTACTTGGGAGGCTGAGGCAGGAGAATGGTGTGAACTCGGGAGGCGGAGCTTGCAGTGAGCCAAGAGCACCCCACTGCATTCCAGCCTGGGTGACAGAGCGAGACTCCATGTCAAGAAAAAAAAAAAAAAAGCAGATGGCTTTCCAGCCTTCTCTTAAATTTCCAGTGTCTTATGTTGGAAATTATTTGGATTTGTTTCTTCCAAATCATGCAGTAATATTGATGCTCCAGAAAGGCGTCCCACGGAGATTTTTGCTCTTGTGCATCCGTCCTGCATGGAGCTGAGGTTGTGCCTCCTCTAGTTTCATTAGCGTGTAGTTGTGGGGAACTTTGAGTTAATCTGGAAAACGAAATGTTAAAATTGATTCAGTGCGTGGTGGCTCATGCCTGTAATCCTAGCACCTCGGGAGGCCGAGGTGGACGGATCACTAGAGATCAGGAGTTCCAGAACAGACTGGCAAACATGGCAAAACCCCATCTGTACTAAAAACACAAAAATTAGACAGGTGTGGTGGCGGGTGCCTGTAATTTCAGCTACTGGGAAGGCTGAGGCAGGAGAATCACTCGAACACGGAAGGCAGAGGTTGCAGTGAACCCGTATCCAGTCACTGCACTACAAGCTGGGCTATAGAGCGAGACTCCATCTCAAAGAAAGAAAAAGAAAAATGGATTCAAAGAATTATCGCTGTTAAGTTTCACCATCAAATTACTAAACGTGGTTCCAAAGGAATATTTAAAAAGGGAAATTAAGTGTTTCCAAGAAAGCCCTATTTACAGCAGAAACACGACACTGTTCATGACCTCACCACACAAACTTCCCTCATGTGTTGGGAAGGACCAAGGGGCTCTCTGGTCCTGCCCCTGCGTTAATTACCTCCAGGAGGTCCACACTAGGACCCCAAGGCCTGGGAACCAGCCCGGATCAGGGACAGAGAAGTGGTGAATGTGGCTTCAAGGGGCACTCCTGGGGTGCATAGGAAGATTTGTGACAGCCCAGAGGATAGAGGAAGTAGTGACTTTGAAAAGGCAAGTGTCAGGTTATCAGGGACCATGTATCTCCATTTCTGGCAGTGAACTGACGGTTTCAGACACTCATGAGAAAAGCGTCCCACGTGGAAGGCCAAGAAGTAGGAGGACTGTCAGACGTCTGGACATTAGCCACATTCCTAAGCAAGGACTACACTGCGCATGTTCGAAGGGGCGTGTCAAGGGCGAGGCCAGGAGGAGGGGCAGTGCCGAAGGAGAGACGGTGCCGAGGGAAGGGGCGGGGCGAGGAGAAGGGGCGGAGCCGAGGGAAGAGGCAGGCGAGTTCGGCTCCAGTAGGAGGAGCGTTACTATGGGAACCCTGACGGGTTTGTGAGCAGCTCTCGGTCCCCTGCTGCTCTGTGAGAAATCAAACTTCTGGCACTGACGAAGCATGAAGCCAGCATCTTAAGGGGAGGTAGTGACATAATTACAAGATACCATCAGCCGCGCTGGTCCCGCTGTCGCCTGGCAGGCAGGAGAGGTTTGGGAACAACCAGGCTCCCCTTGGCATGGCAGAACTGCTCCAGACACAGGGAGGTGTGGATTGGTAGGTGGGAGCTACGCCTGGCATACTTTGATTAAGCTTCCAGTTTTTTCATCCCAGGGCGACCGGATTACAATCCCAGTCAGCATGAGCAGGAGGCGGTGCACAGTCCTGAAGGCGAAGTCCGGCTGTGCAGGCCTTGCCGTGCATGCTGAGTCTCTTCACCGCTCCCGCCCTTTGTTTCAAGAGCTTCGGGACTACAATCCTAGCATGCCCCAGGCTCGGGAGCGGGGCGAAGTTCTCGGGGGGAGGAGCGAAGCGGCGCGCGCCTGGCCAGGCAGGCTGGAAACAGTAGCTCTTAACGGTTCTCTGCCCGTTGGTGGAAAGGCGGCTGGACTAGAATCCCAGCAGGGGACATGGCGAGGAGGCGGGCGGCCCAGGAGGGTTGGGCAGGGCAGTGTGGACCTCGCCTCTTCCACAGCGATGCTGGCTACCGATCGCGGGCACCTCCTTGCCATGGGAAGTGAGTCCAGTAGGGGACAGGAGGGGCAGGTCCAGGGTGGGCAGTGAGGAGGGCGTGACGCCGCGAAGTGCGCCTCGCCTTTGTCAAACTCGGACGGGTGTGGTCCTCATCCCACTTCCTGTTGCTCGGCTGAGTTCCTTCTCCCACCTGCACCCAGGGTCTTTCCTGGGCATCGCGCCTCCTCCAGCCCAGGGAGCCTCCTGCTTTCCTAAGTTGCTGTGGGAACTGGCCTGAGGTTCAGGCGCTGTCCATTGTGCCGCTGCCCTCTTTTCTCTCCAGCCAGAGCGCAGTGCAGCCACTATGGGGAGAAATCCGCCGCCTGACCCGCAGTGCAAAAGTTAAAAGCTTTGCAGGGGGTGGTATGGACTGTGGCTTCGTGAAAATGTCACCCTCACTAGCGCCTTTTTTGCGAATGTTGAGGCGGCAGAAAGGGTCATTGGTTTACCTAGGAGGTGCTAAAATCCGAGGAGAAAATTTCACTTCCCAGGCGTGTGTCTCTGGTGCGCCATTTGTCACCAACCGATTTGGTGCAAAGTCCCCCAAATGGCTACCTAAAGATGGAGATGGTTTAGGTGTTTTCATTGGCACATCATCGGCCTCATCTCAACTGAGGCCTGACTGCGGCAGTGTCTCAAAGACACAGATGGCAACCTGATCTTCAAGAACAGGTAGTGTTCCAGCTTTGTGAGAGTGACTTTCAAGGTGTGGACCACCTGGGGAGTCTTTGAAATTCCTCAGGCTTCACATCTTTGCTTTGAATGGAAAGCTGATCACCCCCAGAACTCACAGAGGTAACTTTACTCTCTCGGGCTGATCTGTTGAATTTTTCTGTCTAACGGAAACTTCTGGAAGCACTTCTAGTTTTGTGTAGCTTCCTAATAGTTGATGTCCCTAAATTCCATATGTCCTCAGGGACAGTTGCTTTGATTCTGTAAGGGCGACAGCTTTTATGCCTTTATGTCTAATCCGTAAAAACTAAGGTGTTAGTCTACATGAAAATAAGGCATTGTTCATATTACACATTCCAACAGGCTTCATTTGTGATTCCTGAATGAGGGTTACTATAAATAAAAACCCCTAAAAACCCTGGTCATGGATATTAGACACTGTTATTGTACTTTGTGAAGAATTTACTCCTTCAGGATCAGTTACACATGGGCTCATCAGTGCCTTTGTAAATAAAGGAACAAGAACAATGTGGCATCTATGGTCAGGGCAAGATGAAGTATAGGGAGATGACAGCACAGCAGCTCTTCCCTTGTTTTCAGTAGAGTCTGTGGGGTCAAGGACCTGCATTCCTCCCCCATCCCCCAATATTCTCATTCTACTCCTTACTGTTCCCTCTTTAGGTGGGAGTTTCTAAATACACTTGCCTGCAAGTGTTGGTGGGGATGTTGTAACATGAGGACATCCATCATCCATCACCTTAAAGGTGAAGGGAGAGGGTTTTGTGGTCTGTGTGCAAGAGGCACTGCTGTTGTTTGTGTGACTGCAAAAACACGTGATCTCAGCTGTCCCCAATAGCTGCCTCACAAGATTGGTCCTGATGCAGCCACAGTTCCTGTTCACAGAGCCAGGAGCTCCTTGCAGTTTGGTGTATTCTGCTGAGATTTGTGGCTCTGACCCTTCTCTACTCACCCCATTCCTGGTAGTATCTGCTCAACTGCCTGATTTGTTCCAGTGTTTCCTGGGAGCCTGTTGTGTAACTGCATTTCAGGGGGTCTTTGGGATTCCATCCTCACTTCACCAGTCACTCTACACTGGCCATGCACTTAGCTTCTTGGGGCCCCATGTGTGTCCTCTTCAGTGGAGCTGTGAAGAGTTCTAGTTAGGGATAGATCTCATTCTCACGTGCTCAGGCTGCTTAGAAAACTGCTCATCTCCTTTTGGCCACATGAACATTCTTTCTTTTGTGTATTTGAAGTCCGATGCTGTTTTTTTGTTTGTTTTTTGTTTGTTTGTTTTTAAATAAAGAGGATTCTTGCATTAACAGTCACCTTTAAATATCTTTGTGAATTTAACTCTGGCAACAACTTGATGTTGGCATGCGATCCCCATTTTATAAGTGAGGAAACTGACACTCGGAGAGGTAGAGTAGCTTTATTTACTTCACACAAGCTTTTCATGTATTTCAAGTCTCAACCTAGAAGTCTTCCTCTAAGGTATGATTATGGCATATTCTAGTTTGTGTTTCCCTGCCAGCATCCCGAAGGGGTCCACATCCCATTAGGACTCCATTTTCTTCTTAATAACAGGAAACTTGCAGAAACACGCCTTTGGTTGGGGAGAGCACTTACTGGCACTTGACCTTCCTATCCTCCGCCTTCCCCTTGTCAGGGCGTAGATTTGATTTGAGGTGATTTGAGGGAGCTGGAGCAGCAGTAGATCCCGACCAACACTCACCTGGAACGCTTGTTGATATGTAAAGATAACACCCTCTCACTTTTTGAGGTGTGATTTTTTTTGTTCTAATTATTCCTCTGGGCCTTCTCTTTCAGGTTTGTGCTGTGTACTAACATGCAATACAAATACTGATGAAAACAAAACTATTGCCCTCTTACCAAATGGTAACAATGATTATATTTTTCCTCTTTTTCTAATTATAAAAGAAATGCATGCTGTTTTAAGAATGTCGATCATAGAAATATTTATGTAGTGAAAGTCTCCCATGTCTTCCTCTTCGTTCCAAACTCACTCGCTTCTTAGAAGTAATTATTATAGCTTGATGTTTATTCTTCTGGATGCTTTCTATAAATTTATAAATACACATAAAGTTGGCCAGGTGCGGTGGCTCACGCCTGTAATCCCAACCCTTTGGGAGGCTGAGGGGGGAGGATCCCTTGAGCTCAAGAGTTTGAGGCTGCAGTGAGCTGTGATCACATCACTGCACTCCCATCTGGGTGACAGAGTGAGACCCTGACTCCAAAAAAAAAAAAAAAAAAGACAGATAAATAGATAAATACATGTACAGTTTTTGAACACAAATTATATCATACTATATTGTTTTTATTTTGCTATTTCATAAGCAATATATCACTTACATTATTCCAAATCAGTGCATGAGATTCTAATTCTCTATTTTTAATGTCTTAAATGTATTCCAAAGAATGGGTATACAAGATTGGTTTCACTGTTTATTTTTTGATAGAAATTTAGATTGGTTCTAGTTTCATTGTTGTTAAAAAATGCAGCAATAAGATTCTTGTACATAATTTATTACACTGATAATTAACTGCTCAGTTTATCTTGCCTTCTTTTAGGCAGAGAGTATGTCATGAGTATAATATTTATTTTGTGATTTATTTCTTAGGGAAATTAATGTTATGACTGGATAAATTCAAGGTTGTCTATCTCTGTATTCTGATGGAAAAGCGTGGCGTTTAGAAGCATTGCTTGCTCCTTCAGTTTCTAACAGGTCAGTATTCTCATAGCAATTTAAATGTTTGAATTACTTCTTCTCTGGTTCAGAATAAGTATGTTGTTTTTTTGTTTGTGAAACTTCTGACTCCGGGTTTTTTCAGTTGGGCTTTAGAGAGGGTAACTCCCATATTGCTGTTGTATCTATTTCTCTTCAGCATCTGGCTGCGTGTGATAAAGATCACATAGAATTAGACCTGGTCCTGTATGTATTTTGGGACCAAAAATTCAAAGTAATCAACTCAAGATAGGAGTCTCCAACTTTGATTCTTAATAAAAGATTTCCTTTGATATCCCCAAATCTTTATGATTCCTAGAAGAAATTCATCCATTGGTGAAGCATGTGGCTGAAGAAATTCACCCATGGGTGAAGCATGTGGTTCTGTTGAATAGTGTTTTTTGGGGGATTTCCACATCGAGTTTCATGAGGCATACTATTTTACAGGGTTTCTTTTTTGGTATTGCCTTTCTCTGATTCTATTGGACAGTAATACTAGCTTCCTAAAATATATTGGGAAATATTCACTCCTCTGCTACTTTTGGACAATATTATACTCATAATGACAAGTTTTCTTGTGAAAATGCTCTGAAAAAAATGTAGGGTGGGCCAGACACGGCGGCTCACACCTGTAATTCCAGCACTTTGGGAGGCTGAGGCAGGTGGATCAGGAGGTCAGAAGTTCGTGACCAGCCTGATTGACATAGTGAAACCCTGTCTCTACTAAAAATACAAAAATTAGCTGCGGTTGGTGGTGCGTGCCTGTAATCCTGCTACTAAGGAGGCTGAGGCAGGAGAATCACTTGAACCCAGGAGGCAGAGGTTGTAGTGAGCTGAAATTGCACCACTGCACTACAGCCTGGGTGACTGTCTCAAAAAAAAAAGTGTAGGGTGCCCTTTTCCCTTTTGTACCGGGTAATATTATTTATTTTGATTGGTATTTACCCATATACGTGCCATTGGTTCAATGAGCCCCCATCTTCTACTCGCCAATCTTACCCCTACTTCAGCCACTCCTCCCTACTTTCTGGTACTCAGTCATATGTTTTTCTCTCCTCACATTCTCAACCCTGTCTCCTTAACATGTGGACTTCCATGCTCTTCCTATGTCCTCCCACCCTGCACTGCCAGGAGGCTCTGCAGACTCTAAGCTGGGGCAGCAACGCAGCCCCCTCTCTTGATTTCAGCCTCCAGACCTCAGTCCTGTGCTCCTTGCAGAGGCTTCTAGTGTCTGGAAACGTCTGGTTCATGTGGTTGGTCTGGCTTCCTGTGTGTTTGGTGCCAGAGGGAGTCTGTTTCTTGCTCTTCCACCATACAGAGAAGGCAAAGCTCTGAATTGATTTTGAAATCAATTCTTGGTTATCTCTTTTGGACTGAAATAAATTGACTATTACTTTGTGATGACATAAATATTGTAGCTTAGTTTGTGGTAGTTATAATTTCATGTTTATTTATTGTTTTACAGGCCATGCCACCATGCCCAGCTAATGTTTTATTGTTTGGCAGAGGCATGGTCTCACTCTGTGGCCCAGGCTAGTTCCAATTCCTAGGTTCATGCAATTCTCCCACCTTGGCCTCCCAAAGCACTGGGATTACAGGCATGAGCCACTGCGCTTGGCCAATAGTTAAAATTTTAGGTTATTATGTACAGTACTGTGATTAACCATATTTAACTTATTCACAGACAAGGCTTTAATAAAAATTACTTCATGCTAGTATATTTTGGTTTAATTTTTTTCAAATTAATTTTCATTTTTTCCCTAATCCTTTTGTTCTAGCCTCAGTCACCTTTACCCTGAGTTTCCATCCTGGGCGGCAGAGGCAGCTCCATGGTTGATGGGCCTGTGGCTCTGTGTACTTGGAGCTCTTACCAATTAAGACTTTGTGACCAGGAAGGGGCCACAGGCCTCTTTTCAGGACAGATCACCTGCCTGCACGTAAAACAAAGGAAGAGCCCTTCCAGGCCAGGAGAACTTAGCCAAAAGCTTTTTACTTTTGAGGTTTCTTTTTGTTGGTTGTTTTTTTCTTTTCTTTTCTTTTCTTTTTCTAAGATGGAGTCTCACTCTGTTGCCCAGGCTGGAGTGCAGTGGCGCGATCTAGGCTCACTGCAAGCTCCACCTCTCAGGTTGAAGCCATTTTCCTGCCTTAGCCTCTGGAGTAGCTGGGATTACAGGCAACCGCCACCACGCCCAGCTAATTTTTTGTATTTTTAGTAGAGACAGGGTTTCACCGTGTTAGCCACGACAGTCTCGATCTCCTGACCTCATGATCTGCCCTCCTTAGCCTCCCAAAGTGCTGGGATTACAGGCATGAGCCACCGTGCCCAGCTGTTTTTTTTTTTTTTTTTTTTTTTGAGACAGCCCAGGCTGTTGACCAGGCTGGAGTGCGGTGGGGTTATCTTGGCTCACTGCAACTTCTGACTCCCGGGTTCAAATGACTCTCTTGCCTCAGCCTCTCAAGTAGCTAGGTTTGCAGTTCACACCACCATGCCCCGATAATTTTTATATTTTTAATAGAGATGAAGTTTTGCCATGATGGCCAGGCTGGTCTTGAACTCCTGACCTCAGGTGATCCACCTGCCTTGGCCTCCCACAGTGCTGGGATTAAGGGCATTAGCCACCGTGCCCCGTGAGTTTTTGAGTCTTTATCCATGATTGGACACAATAAATATCCAGACACACAGATGTTTCCCAACATAACTATGCGTTTAGAGATTGAACATTTCTTTTTCTAGTGATTCTGGTTCTTGACCTTCTCACTTAAGATTTTGTCATCTCCCAGCAGCAGACGCAAGGTCTCCTTAAGCCCTGTAGGTGTAGAGGGAGGGTCTTTGAAAAGCACCAAGTATACACTGTATTTCAAAGTGCATTCACATTTCTCTGTCTCTTCCAGGCCAGTTCTTGGAGAGACCAGGAAGCCAAGAGTTTCCTCCAAGAATGGAGATTCCTTGGGAGCGAGGTTTGCCTTGAGTAAAGAAAGATGGATCACATGTAGTCAAAGGCAGTTGTCTCAAGAACACAGCCAGAAAGAACTGGGGCTGCCAGCATTGTGGGGGTCCTCTCTCCCACCTGAAAAGCTACTGCTGCCTGCCGACCGACCCTCTCAAGAGGAGACCTCTCTGGGCTCCAGCACCTAAAACAGACAAAACTGGGAGGACGCTTCTGTCTTCTGTGTCACACATGTCCTGGAGAAAATCCGTGTATCTGAATGACCAAAGGAAAACTATGAGAAAAAAATGCAAAATCTGTGCCTGGCCATTCAGTGTCTGGCTGGGGCTGTGTGGTGCACATGCATTCCAAGAAGACTGAAGGGTGCTGAGCCTGCAGAAAATGTCCCTCAGCCCCGCCTCTCACACCTGGAGTATGACTGCCCATCCAGGTTCATGATGCAGAATTGTCTTTAAAAGGCCACTGCAGAGATGGAGAGAGGATTTTCTAACCCTAATGGAACATGACCAGCTCTCCCGCTGGGGAAAGCCGCATGCACCAGTGACATGCTGCCCAAACTGGCCCAGACCACACTCTGCTATCTAAGGAATAAGCCCTACATTTGCCCTTTATGGGTAAAGGGAGAGGGTGAGAGAGGAGAGGAGTGTCCGCACAGACATGAGAAGCCTGCAGATCCACATGACCCCCTTGCTGAACAGAATATTAAAGAACAACATGTGGAAACAATGACCCCGTAGCAGATAAGCTTCTAGAGCAGGCTTCAACCACGCTTCATCTGGACCCACCAGCAAGGAAGTCTGCCCGCCCTCTGTGTTGATGGTCTGGGGGATACCATTACTGAGACAGATTTAAGAAATGATCTCTACCTGTGGGCGAGATCCGGATGGTCACTGTTGTGCAGACAGCCGTGTGCTCTCATCAGCTTTCCACAGGGCAGGCTGCGGAAATGGCCACTGAGAAGTCCTTCTGTAAATTGATTGTCCATGGCTGCAGAATCACCATCTAATGGGGGGAGATTCCAAGTCCTCAAGGAAAAGGAGAAAGAGAAGGACAGAACAGCAGACTCTGGGATCCTGTCAGAGCCTATTTCAGGGCCACCAGGAGCCCCTCCTCCTGTTACAGCTCTGGTCTCCACTTTGGAGCCTCCTTCCAAGGAGTGAGATTACCTTTCTGACTTTTTCTGACCATAGACAACTTTTCTGACTATTTCTGTCCTTGACACCTGGCAAGGACAGTAGACCCAGGGACCTGGGCTCCTGGGCCCATTCTTGCACAGCTTCGTCTTGATCGTGCGATTTGAAGTCGTTCTTGTGCGGTGGAAGCAGGGCCCTAGGACCACCCGATAGATCAATGGTCTCTGGCCTCTGCCCCACCGATGGTCAGATGGTGGCCACTCAGGGTGCAGGAGTCCAGCCATCGCTGCTTCCTTGAGTTGAAGAGGTTGGATGCTGGTCCACTTGCTCCTATCCCACCCTTGGCGATGTGGATGGTTGCTCTTTGAGCCTGGTAACATCACTGACTTGGCCCTGCCAGGCATGCCCTGCCTTGTGGGGGCCCTGTGTACTCACACACTGCTTTAAGGGGCTTGCCCTTCCCTGGGCCAAATTCTAGTTTTGGCCAGTGCCCCAGGAAGCTCAGTCCCCTGTTTTGTTATCTTGGCTATTTCTGTGACACCCGTGGCTCCCCTGGGCCCCTTTTCTCCCAGGGCTTGGGCTGGGCTGGGCATCTGTAGGTCTGGGATGTTTGCCCTGTAAGGGAGGCTCTGTCACACCAGTGGGCAGGCATGGGGACACATGACAGGTTGCTGGCTGGCTAGGGCTCTGCAGATGCCACAATCCCCCTCCCCTCCAGCAGCCTCTGAGTCCAGCTTCCCCAGTGACACTGATTTCTCCGGGCTGAGGAGCTGTCTGGGGTTATCTGGGTGCAGTCTTGGCTCCTTTAAGGCTGTACTGGTCAGTGGCCCCTGAGAAAGGTCAAATCCAGGTGCCACCATGCAAGGGGAGTGTCTATGGCCCTACCGCTGGGTTTTCAGTGGGCTGGGCAAGGCCTGGTTGTTGGGGTCCTGATGGGGTTCAGTGCCAGGGCCTGTCCTATGGGGTGTCCAGGGAAGATGTAGAAAGAACAGGGGTTTGGAATCCCTTCTCAAAGTTACACTGTGGATACCATGAGATCCGGATGTCCAGGTCCATGGGGTGTTTGGGAGAGAATTCCAACACAGAAATCGCCAAAAAAATCCCATGGTTTATCCTGAGATAGGAACAGGCTTGCCACATCTTGAGCCACTGGGCCCCCAGAGAGTGGCCTGCTGCCCTGGGCTCTGTGGAATTCTTCTTGTGCTGCTGGGCCTTGGCCTAAGGTCAGCTTCTGGGCTTCTGGAGCTGGGCTGGTGGGCCAGGGAGGGCCAGCCTGTCCTTGGGGAGGGTCTCCATGCTAAGGGATGCCCTCAGAGGACTGGGTGCCAGAGACACTCACTCCAGGACCAGGGCCTTCCTAGCTGAATGGAAAGCAAACTTGGTCCACTTCTCCCCGAAGCCCATCTGACTCTTGTACGGCTAGGCCCCAGATATCTGGGTCCTTGGAGTTTTGGGGTCTCTAGTAACCCACCTGGTCTGACACTGAAGAAACCCCTACAGGCTGCTGATCCCACAGTGAGGGGTGTGTACCGCCTGGGGTATGTATGGGCGCTCGTGAGTGAGTGTCCCTGCTGATCCCACAGTGGGGGTGTTTACTGCGTATAGTATAGGAACTCGTGAGTGGGGACCCCTACTGCACTCTGGCCCTGTTGGTGCTGGCAGCTATGGGTGTGAGCTAGCACAGACGGGACCAAGCCCTCCAGGGGCCTCCAGGGTTCTTCTAGGGCAGGAGGGGAAGGGTGTGGTGGGGGCTTGGAGGGGTCTTGCCCTCATTCCCTGCCCTGTTACTGAGGTGAGTCCAGCGCCTGCCCTGGGGCCCAGCTGGCCTGTTTTTAGAAGCTTCTTAGAGAAGGAAGAGGAGAAGGAAAAGGAAGGCTTGGGGAGCAGGGATGGAGGGTCCTGGGCACTCCCCACTATTTACTGTCTTAGATGGTGACTCAGGAGGGGACCTGGTGCTGGAGACCACGTTGGGGGCAGTGGTCACAGTGCATCTTTCTGAGCTCAGCCATGGAGGCCTGAAAGTGCTTCACAACCACATCATCATCCAGAGCCCAGGCCTGGGACAGTGCATCTTAGGAAAGCTCCCACAGGACAAACAGGGAGAGCTTCAGGAGAGGGGTCTAGGTTTGGGGCTGGGCATCAGGCCAGGAGGGGTCTCCTGGGAGGGGTCTGTGCCTTCACCCTGTTTCTGCCATGGGCACCTCACACTAGGCAGTGCTGGGTCCTTTCTGGACACCCCTGGGGTCCAGCTCTGCACAGGAGGCCACAAATGGGGGGAGGCCCCGGCAGGGAAGTGGTCTCCACACTCATGGCTTTCATCCGAGTTGTGTCAGGGGTGGGTCCAGTTTCCAGGAGGACTCATGGTGCCCTGTCCAGGCCACCAGGCCTGACTTGATTTGGCCCTCCCTCTGGGTTAAAGCAGAGGGTCCTGTGGACAGTGTGAGCACCGCCCTCGGGCCAGGTTTTGTGTGCTTGTGTGCTCCCTCGGCACTCTCGGGCACATGGGGACAGGGTTCTGTGCACTTTCAATGCTGTATGTGCCCTGGCTATGAGCATGCACTTGCCCTACAGAAGGCAGATGTACCAGAGCCTCAGGATGAGCTTGTGATGAGCTTGAAGTAGGGGTTTGTGGGAGCAGCAGGCATGGGAGGACCTGGCCCTTCATGGTGGAGGGCTGGTGACCTGAGCAGGGCCTACTGGGGCCTCAGTCTGTGGTGTCGGGGTCCCCCTCTGTATGGGATGAGACCTCCCCCAGGAGGCTGGATCAGATAAGGTCCTGCAGCTCCTTATAGGGGTGTTCTCATGTCCATCAAATGTGACCCCTGAAAGAGGGGGCTCCCTAAGTGCTCTCCCAAGATGAGTCCTGGCCCAGTCTGCCCAGGATGCTGGCCCTGAGTCCCAGCCCCAGCCGTGTGATGCCCTCTCTCAGGCAGGGCATGGTTTGTGTGCCCTGCAGGGATCTTCCTCTGCCTCCTGTGCAGAGGAGGGGAGCTGGGTCCTTCTGGAGGAGCCAGACCCCTGGGCAGGGTCCCTGGACTGGGTTTCCTGTGCACACTTGTCCCATCAATCAAGCACTGTAGGGGCCACTTTAAGGTGGCAGTCTGGGTGCACAACATTTTCTTGTCTTCGAGGAAGGAGCAGAGGTGTTCAGAGCCCCCTGGACTGCCCTGAAAACCTCACTCTTCCAGGCCCCTCTGCAGACCCTTCTGAAGGCCAGATCTCCAGGCAGTAGGCTGGGCTGTCACCCTCTTCTCTGAGACCCTACACCTGTCCTGAGACCTCCCCACTGTCCCTCAGATGCCCCATCCCTCCGGATTCCCCACCTCCCCTGGGACCCTCCAGGCCCCACCTGCCTTACTTGACGCTGCAGCGCTCTCTGAACATGGCGTGGCTGTGAAGGTTTGGCTCACATCTAGGTCATTCTGGTGCATGTTCACTGAGGACATCTTGGCCTGCTCCATTTTGTATACAGCAGGGCCAAGCCTCAGAACAGACACAAGAGTCACTGTCAAAACTGCTGTCATAAAACAGCCGTTCTGCAAGGAAAGGGGGCTTTTTCTGCAGATACTTCATTTCCATAGCCAGGGAAAGTCAGCAGCGTGCAGCTCACCTGTGTTCCCCACACCACTGTCTGCCCAGGATGTGTGACTGATCCCTTCCGCCCCCTTGGGGTTGACTTTCCCTCCATCTGGGTAACTGGGCTTCTGACACAGTCTGGCCTATGCATCCTACTCTGGTTGGGTGTGGAAGGGCCAGACCTGGTGTTTCCTTGGGTTCTTGGCCTTTGTCTTCTCGACATTCAGTAGGAGTGACTATGCTGGGCCCCAGACCTCTGTAAGTATTCATTTGGAGACCCAATAAGACATCTATGGACAGAAGATGCTCTGGTGAGACAGACTTCAGGGTGACCCCAAGGGGGATCCAAGTCTAAGGATTCTGGAAGTTTCCAGTCTTTGGTTGCACAGTTCCTCAGGAGAGGTTCAGTCTGCCTAGGACTGGGCCTCTTCATGAAAGGTGGGCAAGAGCTCAGGTTGTGAACTCTGATCTGGATTTATTCCTTCCTATGGGGTGTCCAGAAGGTGTTCCTGTTCCTGCCTTAGAAGCGGCCCATGCCCAGGCATCAGATTCCTCCCAGCAAGGTGATCCTTGCAGGGATGGGCAGGAGGGCTAGGGACAAGGCCTGTTGTCCTTTTGGTGAGGAAAGTGTGCCCTGCCCTGTCTGAGAGGCAGGCAGCACCAGGAAGCAACAATAGGCGCCTGTCCTAAACCCTGAAGAGCAGTCATGGGGGACCCTCACTCACAGCTGCGCCTTCTTGTTGTACCTAGATTTATTCCAGTTAAGCATTTATAGGCATTTATCTGTATGTCTGATGCCCTGATGTTTTTGCTGTCGGTAAGAAGTGATGGAGTGAGCTGAGCTGCCAGGTTTCCTGGAGTGATTCTTGGATGCTGGGTCATGTGGTTAGGGGTCCCGATGGGACTGAACTGGAAGGAGCCAGAATAGGACAGAACCAAGCCCCTGATGAGTGGCCACTGGTGGCTTGGCCTTATGACCATAGGACACACTGTTCCCAGGGCACAGACACGCTGGGCTTTGGTTGGGTCTTGGCCTCCAGGTAGGGCCTGGTGGGCAGCGGGCAGCGACTCCTGAGACACTACTGTGATTCTCGGTGGTGGCTGTGGTACAAAGCCTGCAGGGCTAGAGTTTGGAGTGAGATTCAGCAGGAACTGTGGCCTCTCCCAGTGACGGTGTGTCACTCCCATTCCCAGCACGCATGCCCACAGGCCACAGCCTCCGCATCACACACCCCCTGCCAAGTCGCCCATCCATGGAGCAGCCCCCATACAGCAGGGTCAGGCTCTTACCTCCACCTCCAGGGCACAGACAGGGGCAGTTCTGTCTCACTGTAAGGCAATGGAAGGAGAGCTGAGGACCTGGACCAGGCTGGGGGCCAGGTCTCAGCCCAGGAGCCTGCATAGGGAAGAAAGGACAGACAAGGCCTCCGTGCTGGCTGACACTCAGGAGGGGCTGGGGCAAAGGAGCAGAAGGAGTACAAGATCAGGCAGGGACTGCTCAGGATCCATGGGGGCTCGGGCTGCACAGTGGGGCTGCCCCTCCTGGGCTGCAGGCAGCGTCCCCTGTGGGAGCTGAGCAAGTCCAGTCCTGAGATGGGACAGTGTTGCCCAGGGGTGTGTGGCTGGGCCCTGACAACAGTCTCCCCAAAAGTGACCACATCACCCGGCTCAATTCCAGGAAGGCTGAGAAGTGCCCAGTACACCTAGGATGCACCTGGAGCCCATCCTGTCTAATAGACTCTGACCATCGCACGTCCACCAGCCTCTCCTGCATATTGGCCACCACCCCTTCCCTTTTCCTCATTTCTCCATCGTGTCTGACCCAGAGACTGTGACCCTCTCTCCAGCCACAGTGGCCCTTCTTTTACCTTCATCCTGTAAAAGCCCTTGAGCAAGACTCCTCTGATCCATGAACATGCCTGCCTTGTCCACTTACTAATTGGGCTGCTGTGCACTGCTGCTGTGGCACCAGAGGTAATGAGGGTGACTGAGGGCCCCACAGGTGGCCAGCTTGGCCCTCTACCCAATTCCTAGCCTCAGGAGGTTCTCAGGGGCCTTGGCTTGGGGCACCTGGCTGTCCTCCTCCCACCATTCTTTTCTGACAACCTCACCCACCTGTCCTCTGTCCAAGGTGCTACTGAGCTTTGGGGACTGACCGAGGCTCCTCTGCTGAGGGGTCCCAAGTGAGTCGCTGCCCCTGGATCTACGTCATCCGCTGTCCTCTTCAGCACCATCCACTCCACCCCAGGCCGGCTCCATGCAGATGCATCCCCGAGTCACCAGTCTCAGGGTCCTCTGTTGTAGGATGCAGATTACTGTACCTGCTGTACACATTTATTATGTGAAATAAATTATATATATAATATATAAAGTAAATGAGGACTTTGATCTGCATTTTCCCGATGAATACTGATGTTGAGCACTTGTTAGCCATATTTATATCTTTTTTTTTAAAGATAAATGTCTATTCAGGTTCTTTGCTTGTTTTTAAATCAGTTTATTAGATTTTGGTGAATATTCTCTTTTCAGTTGTGTGGGTTTCTTATGTATTTTGATATTAACCCCTTATGAGATATATTGTTACAAATATTTTCTCCGAGTTCATAAGCTGCTTTTTAATTTCATTGATTGGTTTCTCCTGTGCAGAAGCTTTAGGGTTAGATGTACTCCTACTTGTATTTTTGTTTTTTGTTTCTTGTGCTTTTAGTGTCATATTTAATAAGTTATTATCTGAACCAATGTCAAGGAGCTTTTGCCCTATGTTTTCTTGTAGGATTTTTACAGTTTCTGGTTAAATAACAATGAGATATCACCTCCCATCTGTTAGGATGGCTGTTATAAAAAGGACAATAAATAACAAGCATTGGTGATGGTGTGGAGAGAAGGGAACATTTGTACACTGCTGGTTAGAATTTAAGTACAGCCATTAAGGAAAACAGTATGAAGGTTCTGGAAATCTAAAAATAGAACTACTCTATGGGTCAGCAATCCCTCTCATAAATTATATATCAATAGGAAATGAAATCAGCATCTTGTAGAGATATCTGCATTCTCTTCCCCCTGCCCAACCGCAGCGTTGTTCCCAACAGCCAAGCCATGGGATCAAGTTACTGTTCATTGATGGATGAGTGGAGAAAGAAATTGTGGGGGAGGTGTTTGTGTGTGTGTGTATAATATATAATAATGTAAATATTTCAGCTTTTTTATATATATATATATATTTTTTTTTTTGAGACGGAGTCTCACTCAGGCTGGAGTGCAGTGGCCAGATCTCAGCTCACTGCAAGCTCCACCTCCCGGGTTCACGCCATTCTCCTGCCTCAGCCTCCCGAGTAGCTGGGACTACAGGCACCCGCCACCTCGCCCAGCTAATTTTTTATATTTTTAGTAGAGGTGGGGTTTCACCATGTCAGCCAGGATGGTCTTGATCTCCTGACCTCGTGATCACCTGCCTCGGCCTTCCAAAGTGCTGGGATTACAGGTGTGAGCCACCGCGCCCGGCTATTTCAGCTTTTAAAAATGAGAAGATACTGCCATTTGTGATAATATAAATGAACATGGAGGATATTAAGCTAAGTGAAATAGCTTAGGGAGAGAGAAAAATACTGCATAATTTCTGTTATATATGAAACTTTTAAAAAGTTTAAATACATAGAGACACGATAGAATGATGACTGGGGAGAGAAGAGACACAACGTTTCAGTTATATAAAATAAACGAAACTGGAGGAATAAAGTACAGTTTAAAGGTTATAGTTACTATTTTTATACTATATGCTGGTAATTTTTGAATAGGGTAAACTTTAGGTGCTTTGACACCAAAAGAAAACTACATGAGTTCATGCATATGTTACATTGCTTTACTGTAATAATCATTTATATGTGTATGTATATATGAATATAATTATGGGCTCATTAAATTTAAATATTATAAATAGGTAACAAAGAATAAAGTTAATTGGAAAACTGTGTCATTAGACTTGATTTTGCCTAAATGACAAACTGAAAGTACCTCCTAAATATTAATATTTGTACATCACATAAATTTCATATATTGGAAATATGTTTAGAGAAAGGAATTATAAATTTTAATACACACAAAATGATGCAGTAAATGCAAAATGGTAGAAAGAAATGAAAATCTGATTAATCAGAGTGGTTAATTCTTAGATATTAATGATGTGTTAGCTGTAATTTCAAGCCATATGCATGTACATTTAATACCAAAGAGTTCACTGTGTACACAGAGATTAATTAAATGAAAAACTGATACATTTACAATGTTATTAATTGATTTTAAAATGATCACAGAAATCAACTGTCTGGTATAAAAAAAATAAAGTGTTAAGTAATTATCATAAAGTTTGAAACTAAAAAAAAAAAAGCTGGGGACGATGACTCCTGCCTGTAATCCCAGCAATTTGGGAGGCCGAGGCAGGCAGATCATGAGGTCGGAAGTTCGAGACCATCCTGGCCAACATGGTGAAACCCAGTCTCTACTAAAAATACAAAAATTAGCTGGGCATGGTGGTGCATGCCTGTAGTCCCAGATACTCAGGAGGCTGAGGCAGGAGAATTGCTTGAACCTGGGAGGCAGAGGTTGCAGTGAGCCAAGATTGTGCCACTGCACTCCAGCCTGGGGACAGAGCTAGACTTTGTCTCAAAAATAATAATAATAATAATAATAATAATAATAATAAAACCCAAAGTTTGAAACTTTATTAGAAAGTTAATAAGTGGAAAATTGATCAGCATTTTGGAGCACTAAACAGAGGATGGACAGAATTTTCTAATACCAAGAATATCATTTAATATTGCAAGGGTTTAAATCTAAATTAGTGTCTTTAACTTCACAAAGGCAGAACTCCTATAAGCAATGTTTCTTGAACACTGTAAAATGACAATAAAAATTAAAGTAACAAGTAACATGTAGCCACATGCAAATTTCCTTTCAGATTGTTTTATTATTTTTTTAATTTTAGGCAAATTTTTATTTCAATAGGTGTTTGGGGAACAGGTGGTGTTTGGTTACAGGGATAAGTTTTTTGTGGTTATTTCTGAGATGTTGGTGCATCCATCACCTAAGCAGTGTACACTGTACCCAATGCGTAGTCTTTTATCCCTAAGATTGTTTTAAATGACATCTAGATTAAATAGAACATTCAAACTGAGATGACTTTTATAGCACCAGAGAAATGCTAAGGAGGAAGCTTCATGACTGAAACTAAAAGACCTGAATTTGTATATTTAATTCTACTAATTAAGATTCTTAATTTTAGAGAAGAATAGCAATTCTGCCCACATGCAGGAGTTATGCATTACAGTGGAGCATGATCACTTCAGGTATTTGTCCAAAACATAAAAATTCTTCCAAGTATTAAGAAAATATTTACACTTCATAGATAATGTTAGTGTATAATACATGGGCATTGAATAAGAAAAATTAAAATTTCTCATGTGGCACTGTTCTACACAAAACATTTATGTAAAAATTTTTACTCACAACACGTGTGTACATTTGATGTTTTAGTATAGAATAACATATTCTCAAAGGTCATTTAATGTAGTAACTTAAAAATCTTTAAATTTTACAAGAATTCTAAAACTGCCCAGCATAGCTGGTAGAAAAATACGGGAACTTCCCAGGACCAGAAGTGAATCAAGAGACATACTAACAAGAGTCATGAAAGCGAGAAGTTAGAGCCGCCTTCAGATACGGCTCTGATTGCAGGGCTGATTACACAGACCTAAAGCCTGTGAGGATTGTCCACTCTGCCCCTTGGAATAAACAGAGAAAATTACTAAGTGGGGCCATCCCAAATGTGAGGTCTGTACAATGTAAGAACCAAATTGTAAATTATGAAGCACACAAAATAAGCTACCCAAAAAAGGGAAAGAAGAAATTATATATCACATAAACTTCATAGATTGAAAACATATTTAAAATAATTCAGTAACACAAATGGGGAAAGAGAATATCAAAATAATTTTGAAAACACATGAAGTTCTAAAGCGGGCACTGGGGGCAGTGGCTCATTCTGTACTCCCAGCACTTTGCGGGGGCCAAGGCAAGAGGATCACTTGTGGCCGGGAGTTTGAGACCAGCTTGGGCAACAAAGCAAAAGCTGTCTCTACAACAAATAGATGCAAAAAAAAATAAAAAAAAAAAAAAATAAGCCAGGCACGGTGGTGTGTGCCTGTAGTATCAGCTGCTGGGGAGGTGTAGGTGAGAGGGTCTCTTGAGACCAGGAATTTGAGGTTGCAGTGAGCTATGACCAGCACTGAACTCAAGCCTGGGTGACAGAGAGATTCTTTCTCAAACACACACACACACACACACAAAACAGGCATGTTTTGCGAAGACTGAAATAGAAATTGAACAACTGAAACTTAAATAAATTTAATATGCAATGTATGGTTTAATTATTAAATGAGACCAAATTAATAACAACAGGATTAGTAAACTAGAATACTGAAATGAAGAAATAAAACAACTACGGAAAAACAAAATAACCACAATACAATTATGATTATACATGTACAAAGAATAAAATGAGATGAAATCAAACACATTGGTTTCACTAGCTTACATACAACTAACAAATCACACTAATAACAAATAGTTATAAATTTCTGAAACTGAATATCAGATGGGAACCCTTGAATGCGAAGTGTATTGTGATTAAAAGTGGCCACCAACAAAAAATACTCAACAGAAATAAAAGTCAAACTGTATAACACCCAAGAAAAGAAAAAAAAGTTAAAGCCATGAGAGAGAAGAGAGAACCAATGAAGGTGAGAGCAAACTCTCCAGAGCCGGTGTTCAGCCAGAAAACAGAGAAATAAGTAAGAGTGCTGGGAGAAGTTCCTGTTCAACAAATAATTAGAGACTTCACTAACATATTTTGAATAGGTAAGGATGCACTAAATGATTTCCAAAAGTAAAAAAAGGAGAAATCTTATTACCAACATGAGCTTATTAAGAATACACTTCAAAAAGAAAAAAAATTAAAATGAAGTTCAAGGAATTTAAATGCAACAAACTGCAAACATATTGGGCTATCAAATCACGGTGGACGACGAACTAAAGGATCCCTCAAGTCTTTGGCAGCATCAGTTTTCAAATGATTGACATAAAATAACAGTGTTAAACTCTATACATGTATCAAATTTTCTGATACTTGAATAATTTAACTGGTGTTAGAATCTCATTTTCAGATAATTATTTTGAAAGAAAAAATATGTGATACTTCTGTCTCGTCATTTGCAGAATATCAATTATCCTTTTTTCAGACCTTATTAGCACCAAAGGGCTCACAGTGGCATAGGCACTGGTCACAAGCTTCTGGACACCCAGGATGGCTAGCTCATATCTTGTTACCAGGATCCAGTAGGATGAGAGACTTAAATCCATCTGGTACATGACCACGAAGAAATTCACCAACGGCAAGATGGTCTTGGTGGCCCTTTTTTTCTGGAGAGACTCTTGGGGAGATTGTTTTGTTTTTTGTTTGTTTGTTCGTTTGTTTTTTGACTTGCTCAATCTCTTGATGTAGTGGCACACATAATGAATGAATTAGCTCTTAGTTGTGGTATACTTAGTAAGTCTGATCTTGCTTGGAGAAACAGGATCTTAATACTTCAGTCTCAGAACACTTTAAAAACCAAGCCACGGTTTTTCTTTCAAGGATGTGGAAAGCATTCCTCATTCAAATCTGATTAATGGTTTTATAAAGTATG